TAGGAGTAGCAGAGAAAGTATTTGATATCTTAGACCCTGTTCTGTGAGGTGGGTTGTTTTGGAGAGGTTAGTTTGGCACCATCCCCATCTCCATACCTAGCAAACTGTTATGTAAATCAGAGGCTTATTTGAGGATTCCAGCTGGTGGGGAGTCTAGACTTTTAGAGTGAAAGGGAGACCTCCGTTCTTCTTTCCCTGTTCCCCACCCCTTTCGGTGTCTCCTTCATGTCCCCCTGTTATTGTTAGCCCTGACTCATGACAATTTCATGCAGATTGGGGTCAGACTGTTGTCATCCATGGACTTTTTATTACTTGATTTTTTTTTTTTGGCAAGTAGATTGCTAGATCTTTCTTCCTACTGTGTCTTAGTCTGGAAGCTCCACTCAAACTTGCTCAGCACAGGTCTCTGCTGACAAATGAGCTCTGCTGGAGGTCCTTTGTTCAGGAGTCTAGTCTAGCTGTTCTGTGCAGACGGTGCTATACTGGGTTATATGTTGGTCTGCTAATCGCAAGGCCAGCAGTTCAGATTCACCAGCTCTGCGGGAAAAAGATGAGGTTTTCTGCTCCATTAAAGATTTACAACTTCAGAAGCCTTGCACAGGGTGGCTGTGAGTAGGAACCTACTGGAATATACACTGTTCCCACTACCACCAGAGATCAAAGCAGGATGGAGGGATGGAGACACAGCAGGGGCTCTGAACACATAAGACCCTGACTCTACTCTTTTACCAAGGAACTATCGTCAAACTTCTTCAAGTCTCAGTTTGTTCAAGTATAAAAGTGGAAACAGCATTTTATATCTCCAAGGACTGGTTTGATGAATTGGCTGAAGTATATGTTGTTGTTGTGAAGTGCCATCGAGTCGGTTGTGACCCATAGCGACCATGTATAGGGTTTCCGAGGAGCAGCTGGTGAGCTTGAACTGTCAACCTTGCAGTTCAAATGGCTTTGCAGTCTGGCGCATTAACCCACAGCGCCACACAACAATAAATGCTATGTTTTCTTCCATGTCTATTTTTTCACATTTGAAAAGGAACCAGTTCAATATAGAATATAGTTGAGTAGTCTGACTATGGTCATAGAATAAGTTGGTGGTAGAAGTGGATTGGAAATGATCTTTTACCTCCCATTGTTCAAGACTAGTCCTAAACCTTAGACTTCTCTAGATGAGTGGCCTAGTCAAGTCTCTGGGCCCAGGATTTGGACCCAGACCTCCAGTCAGACCAGAGGGTTTGAGGCCTCAGGGCTAGGGAGAAGGTTGAGAACAAGGTGGTGTAGGAAGTAGGATGAGCTGAGTTTCTTAACAGCTTGAGAAGAAAGATGGGTCAGAGTTTAATTACCTCCAGTTACAGGTAAAGAAATTTAGGTTTGGTTTGGATATTAACTTGTCATTGTGCCAATGAAATGGATTGGCACAGTGGCAGCAGCAGTAGGCTCCAGCATTAGTTGTGAGGATGGTACAGAACCAGACAGTGTTTGGTCTTGTTGCTCATGGGGTGGTTATTAATTGGAACCAACTCAACAGCACGTAACAACAACAACAACAAGGTTATTGGACCAGAAAGTCTACTTTTCCCAGCCCAGGAGTCTGGGACCTTCCCAAAAGTGCTAGGGGTATTGATCTTGGCCTTCGGGAACCCATACCTGCTTCAAAATGTAACCCCCAACCCCAGCTTTCTGACTCATGGACCAGTGCATTTCTTCCATCCTACATTGCTTCTCATGGGAGGAGGGAGGAGAAATGGATGGGAATGACAAGTGATTCTGATGAAGGTTTGTTCACTTGAGTTATTAGAGAAAGACTAAGTCATTGGGCTGATGATGGTCTTGGTGCTGGTGATGGTGATAGTGGAGGTGTTGGTTCTGGTGATGATGGAAGTGTGGAAGTGGTGGAGGTGATGGTGGAGGTGATAGTGGAGGTGGTGGAGATGATAGGGAGGTAGGTGGTGGAGGTGATAATGGAGGTGTTGGTGCTGGTGCTGGTGTAAATGGTGGAGGTGGTAGATTTGATAGCGGAAGTGCTAGTGATGCTGATAGGGGAGGTGGTGGAGATGATAGGGAGGTGGTGATGGTGATAGTGGAGGCGGTGGTGGTGATAGTGGAGGTGGTGATGGTGATAGTGGAGGTGATGGTGATAGTGGAGGTGATGGTGATAGTGGAGGTGATGATGGTGATAGTGGAG